ATTTTATCGCGATCAGACAGTGCAGATTAAATGCGATGGACGATCTAGATTAAAAGATGACAGATATAAATAACTCTCTTTACAAAAAAACCCTAACCCTGGGCCAGACCCCCCCCCCCCCGCGCCGGAAAGGAATCCGACCGCTGTCGCCTCGTCGGAGCCACTTTCGACCGCCAAAGGAGATAAAAATTTTCTCTTTTACTCGAAATTCAATTTTAAACACCTCCATGGTCTAATCAGAGCAAACAGACTGACAGATTGGCCAAAAACTGCGGGTAAATTCCAGCGGCACCGTCGTGAGAAAATATAAAAAATACCTCCGATGAGGCCCTTTCTGATTTATGTTCTGCGTAATTCTTCCACCATTGTAATCACCGATTCCTTCTCTATAAGTTGACCAAAGCAAAACACCCAACCGCAAATGTGAGCCGGTGGAGCCACCGCACAGGAGAACCCTGCCGCTGGTAAGTTTTGGTTTTTTAATTTTTTTTTAATCGAGTCTCCTCAACGTGTTTTCTCGTAAGGATTGATACAAAACCAACTGAATTCAGTCGAAAATAGTCAAAAAAGCCGACCTGAGGCGAACCGTCGCTACAGGCGGCAGTGCCGTCGTCGGAGCACGGTGGAGTCGTCGTGCTGGAATTTTAGAATTGGCCAAAAAGGGATCTTAACACTGATTTTGAGTTTTTTGAAATATTTTTAGGTACTTAAAGTGCGTTTTAATCCCCGAAGAAAAATTTAAGAAACCTAGGAACCACCAGTAGGCGCAATCAACAAGTTTAGCATTTCAGACATCAATTTGAGCAAGAATCCCTCACCTTATTCTTTGTTATGGAATTAAAGTCTAATTAATAATAATAATATGGTATTCTGTGCAATTTAAAAAATATCCACAATTAATTACAAGTTACTAATGGAGCCAGAACTGTAAGTTATTCACTGTTGATTCTGTTGATTTATTTTACAGTTTGAATGCATGATAATACCTGATTGATTGATCTTATAGTTTGAATGCATGTGTTGCTTGCTTCATGTGATTATGGTTGAATTGAAAAACTAGAAAGTAAAGAAAGTCAGAAAATTGTTTGATTAAGTGAATGGATGAAACAGCAGCCTTACTAGATATCCTGGGAGATGGTGGACGGATCAAGTACATAGGAAACCTTACCGTGAACGCTGTCTCATACCGGACGA